CATACAAAGCATGCTGACACACATCGTCCATGGACAGAGCAAAGACATCAATCTTACGAGCTAACAGACGAGACCAGCGAGGTGTGACCGCCAGAGGGCCCCAACGAGCCCGGTAGAGGTCGTCGAGGCGGCGGAAGCACCGCGCGGCAGAGTGGTCGTCGCGACCACAGAGACCGGGGCTGCCCGGCCCTGTGAGGCACCAGTGGGTGCAGGGGCCAGTGTCACGGCGAGGGGGGGGAGGGGCCCAGCTGGAAGTGCTGCTGCTGCGGCCGGTGCTCCCTGGTCCTCCCGGACCCCACTGCGGCGGGGGACCCCAGTGCTGCTGCGGACCCCACTGCAGCGGGGGCCCCCACTGCTGGAAGTGCTGCGGTGCCTGCTGCTGCTGCGGTCCTTGCTGCTGCTGCTGTCCCTGCTGTGGCTGGTGCTGCTGTGGCTGCTGCTGTCGAGGGGCAACACCCCCACCGGTCGGACCACCACCAGTGGGCGGGCCTGTCTGTCCTGCACCTCCTCCAAGGCCCCCTCCTCCTGGTGCACCACCACTGCCGCCGCCGCTGCCGCCTCCGCCGCTCCCACCGCCACCGCCACCTCCACCGCCGCCTCCACCGCCCCCACCTCCCCCCCTACCGCCCCTCTTGCCACTCTTGCCCCGTTTCTGCCTGTCTGCGGCAGAAACGGCAGCAGTGTCCTCAGAAACCGACACAGCAGCAGAAGCACGGGTAGCAGTGAAAGTGGGAAGCTGAGGGGCGGCACACCCCGCAAAGAGATGGGGAGCCACCGCGTCAGTGGCGGAGGCAACGGTGAGGAGGCTGCTCTCGATCTTCCCGAGAGCGGTCTCGAGGAGATCGATGGTGAGCTCAGTGGGGTGCTTCTGGAGAAGCGCGTCGCGGGCAGTGGCAAGGCGGTCAGGGAGGCAGGTGACTAACCAGTGCACAGTGAGCCACATGGGGGGGGGAGCAACAAGAAGCTGTGTGTCGGTACAGGCCGCACGGAAACCGGCGTCAAGCGAGCGGAGGTGAGTCACTAGGTCGGAAACAGTCGCAAACGAGCCTAGGTCGGGAAACACAAACGGCATGAGGAGGCGACTGAGGGAGGCAGAGGAGGGGGTGGAGTAGCGGGCAACAATAGCATCCCAAACCCCCTGTGCTGTCTCCACCTGGTCAAAGTGGGCGGCCTCAGTCGGGGGGAGAAGCTCCGACAGTGTGAGAGCGGCGGCAGCGTCACGAGAGAGCCACACGTCCCTGGCCAGGACCCAACGGTCGTACTCCGCCTGGGCCGTAGGAGTCGGCTCCGAGGCGGTCGGCAGGGCGGCGGGGGACGGGGGGGCCTGGAGAGCACCAGACGCATGGGCCCACAGAGTGGCACCGTCCTGGCGCTGGCTGGTGAGGAAGCGCGTGGTCTGGCGCTGCCAGGTCCCGAACTCTATCGGGCGCCCCTCCGCATCGAAACGGAGGCGACGGGACTCCATAACTGATGCCATGCTAGAGGCGACTGGAGCACGGCGGAGGCGGATCTAAGAATGTGGAGGACGGCTATGGAGGGCGAGAAACGCCAGCTGGAAAGCTACGAGAGAACCGACGGCTGAGGGAGCAAACGAGACGAGGCGGAGGATGACTAGGAACGCTAGGGACGGAGCGGCTAGGAGCTAGTGTCGACACGACGCTAAGGCTAACTACCGGAGGTATGAGCGGCTGCCAGCCGCTGAGGCGAAGTCCAGTGACAGGGAGAATGGGAAGGGCCCGGGAAACAGGGCGGAGGAGGGGAGAAACCGGCCACGTGCCGAGGGTAGGTGTGGATCGGGCGGGCTAGGACGCAACCGAGGCGCGGGCGCGGGCTAGGGTCAGGCTGGGGCGCGGGCTAACGGGAAGGGAAGGCGCGGGGCTAGGCGTGGGAGCGGGTGAGGCGGAGGCGCGGGCTAAGGCGGAGGCGCGGAGGTGGTCGTGGGCGCGGGCTCGCACTGAGCGAGGGAGGCGGAGGCACGGAGGTGCGGTGGCGCGGAGGCGCGGTGGGGCGGCCGGAAGGGGCGCTAAGGGGCCGCGCTAAGGGGCGCGCTAAGGGGCGCGACGGGCGAGGGCTGAGGGCCGCGCTAAGGGGCGGGCTGAGGGCCACGCTAAGGGGCGGGTTAGGGGCCGCGCTAAGGGGCGGGCAGAGGGCCGCGCTAAGGGGCGCGACGAGGGGCGGGCTGAGGGCCGCGCTAAGGGCCGCGCTAAGGGGCGCGACGAGGGGCGGGCTGAGGGCCACGCTAAGGGGCGCGCTAAGGGGCGCGACGAGGGGCGGGCTGAGGGCCGCGCTAAGGGGCGCGCTAAGGGGCGCGGGCTAGGGGCGCGAGGGCGCAACAAACACGGAGGGCGTGAGGGCGCGGAGGGCACTAGAGCGCAAAAGGGCGCGGAGGGCGCGAAGGGCGCGGAGGGCGCGGAGGCTAGCTAGGAACGAACCTACTCGTGATACCATCTCAGAAACTGAATGCAACGGAATGGTGAAACTAGAAAGTGTGGAAGTACAAATATGCAACCCTAACAACTGTACTCCCTCTTGTGCTACTCACTGTAGCCTACAAGCATAGAATTACATTTGACACTATGCACCAGCCACACGTGAAAGGGGAAACCATGTCCATCTGGACAGATCCCTATGTGATGCCCAAGCCCCCGTGGACAATAAAAAAGGGTGGTTAACAATGCCATCCCTCCCCAGGAACCAGTTTTGGCTGCGGCCACCCTTTTTCTTATAAGGCTTCAACACATAAGAAGAGGTCTCTTCTCCGCTATCTCACATCTTAAATATAAAAGTAGTTAATGAGTCTGATTGATGAACACTGTATCCATGGATACAAGACTTGAGACCCGAGAGTGACCCGCGACAGAAAATGCTGCAGCCGAAGTCAGTGGGGTTGGCTTCGTTTCTTGTTTGGTAAAAAGCAGTCGATTGGCGGATTGAGCTGCAAGTAGGCATCGTCCATGTCATTGCTGCCAGGCTCACGTGAATTGCTGCCCACATCAACGTTTCATTTAGCCGTGTGTGCGCCCCATCACTGGGGACCATTTTCGTTCTTCTGCGCTGGGAGTTGCTGGTCATATTTATCAAGCCCATGAAATTGCAATAACTTCTTTGATCAGCAAAAATCAGGAGGCATCGATATCACAAAATCTAAGTTTTGTTGCTACAAAACCGTTTGTGGGCCCACCACCACCACCACCACACTAGGAAGAAATATTTCTTCCTAGTCATCCCTCTGCGTCAAGGCGTTGCCGAAAAAGTTCGAGTTCCTGGACGAAGCCTGGCAAGGCAACCTGACCCGAGTCCCCACCACAACGAGCCCTCAAAGGTTCAGGTCAAGTTTCAGAAACAACCACTGCATTGTGATGCTGCTGTTCTTCTGTGGTGCTGCTTGGTGTGAAAACCAATTTCCAGAGCTACAAAACCAGAGACTGCACAACGCTGGGGGTGGAAGGTCACTCGGTGTCGAGGGACCCGTAAGACAAGCATTCTCACAACTGGTAAACTGTTTTCTCAATACCCGTACAGATTCAAGCAAAGCAGCGCCAGAACCAGACTTCGAGGCATTCCGTGTGGAAACTCAGAACGGCGCTGTAAACCAATCAAATCGCTTCGATCACATTTCCTTCCCTCCGCCTGCAGCGGCGTCCAAAGGTTGACGCTGATGGGTCATGCGAAGCGATTGGTAAAGGCCACGCCACGACAGCGCGGTGTGGGTGGCTGACGGAAGGCGGCGAGAGATTGATGGATCTACAGTTCAGTGCATTTCGCTTTGCGATGCGGTGCGGGGTTCTGACTGGAATGGGCTGATCACGTGATGCAAGCAACATTCGCTTCCGTCCACTTCTAGCATTCGCTTTTGTCTTGCGCTACTTTGCTTTCATAGCTCAAGTTTCGTCTCTTCGCCTCCTTGCTCGCACCCTTTCTCGACGATCCAATGCCTTCCTTCACTCGAAACCCAGCACGACCCCGAGCAGAACATGGATTTTTGCGCAGAACTGGTCAGTCGTCATTTTCAAAGATCCAACAACAGTTCTGTGTTATTTCAAGTGCGAACTCAGACATCGTTAGGTAGACGCCGCGGCTGCAGCAGCGGCTGCGCGTAGTTCGGCATATACAGTGTTTCAGCAGATTATGGCTGTCGCAGGAATTCAACGTAGTCTCGCCGTGAACCACCTCACTCCTCCCGCCGGTGTTCTCCGTCGCTAAGGGTAGCTGCGCTTCGCCACGTTGTACGGAATAAGGAATGCGAATTCGCTTCTCCTTCCGACTTGCGACTTCCGACTCCCATGTCTCCCGCTCTCGCGGGTTCCCCCTTCCGTCGATGGTCCCCGATTAGACACAGCTCCTCATTTGAACCTGCGTCTTTAAAGCGCCTCTCATGTCGTCTAGTCGCCGGAATCTCGCATCCAATCAGCACGCACCAACGGCAGACGATCCGCGCGCGCCACCACAGAGCCTCGCATCTCCAGGTCAGTTGGAGTTCTCGAGGTTTTTTCCCACGCTCGTCGAAGGCCGAGGAGGCTCAGCTGCAATTGCGGCGGGCGAAGCGGCGAGTTTTCCTGCCATGGCGTCCGTTGCGGCTCTAGGCGTCCAACGTCCCGTGGCCACCCCGAGTTATTTGTGCGACTCGCGAGGCGACGCGGCAAGTCTGAATTCTGAAACTCTCGCCTTCCTCCTCGCGAATCCCGCGGCTGCGTTGGCGACACTGTCGCACACGTCGCCCAGCAGGCAGCTCCCGAGAAATCTGTCGCACAGTTTGCATTTTGACGGCGCGACTCCATCGGCAGGGCCGAGTCAGCAAGCGGTTTGGCATGCTTCGCGCGCCGCAGCGGAATCCTTTCCTCACGTGGCGACCCGCACATGGGTCCCGCAACACACCGCAATCAACGGCGGAGCTAGCGGCGCAAGAAGCGGCATTCGGATGGCCTCTTCCACTTCCGACAGCATCGCCGCAGCGGCGTCGGCGTTGAATCACAACTCGTGGCGACCCGTTGACGCGGCAGATGGGACAGGCGGAGCAGCGAAGCAAGGCCGCGGCCGACGCCGCAAGACGCGGCGAAGCAAGAGGCGGCAGCAGTGAGCACGCGGATTACAGTGGCGGCGGAGTGGGGGGTAGCGCCGGCGGCGGGAGTAACGCGGAGCGCACGTGGGAGACGAGCGGGAGCGGGGAGGAGCCCGCGGCGGGCGGTTCGAATGATCTTACGGCGGCGGACGCGGCTCTGCTATCGCAGCTCCGCAGCGCGCACGACTCGCTCCCCCGCCCCTCATTCCAATCGCCCACCGCACTGCATGATAGGACTCCCGCATCTGGCGGCGACGCATGTTGGGAAGCGTCCGGAACTCCGGGCCGCGGGTTTAGGGAGCCTCAAAGGCTGCGCGCACCAGGCGGCGGGAGTTGCGGGCTGCAGTTGGCGGTCGCGGAGCAGCTGGACCAGCTGCAGCAAGAGGAGCGCCGCGATGAGCTCGAACGGCGGGAAGCGCCCCGAGATAGCGATCTGGGAATGCGGCGCGGTGCGACGGGAGAGCAGCAGGAAGCCGGGCGATACGAACATATGTTTGAGAGGACGGTTGGAACGGACGACACGTGTCCTCCACACGCGAGGCCGTCGCCGCTGCTGTCGCTCGAAACCAACTTCCGCGATTTCCGCGCGAGAAGGGGAGGCGGGGTGACTGGCGACGGTCGCAGCGCGGACGCCCTTGCGGTCGACCTTGGCTTAGCGTCGCAGCAGCTTGTTGATGGTGTCGCGATAAGCAATAGCGGGGATGCGAGCGGGAGCAGGGGGCAGCAGAATTTGTGGAGTCCGAGCATCAACCAAAGCCGCAGCGGAAACGATTGGGGGTTAGGAGGTAGGGAGGAGTGGAGCAGAAGTGGCGGGGCCATGGCGCCTCCCACTCGGCCCGCGTCTGCCGCCATTACCAGCGCCAACGCCCGCGCTGCCGGCGCAGCCGCTGGCGGAGCTTCCGCCGTTGCTGGTGCTTCCCCGGGCGGCGATGACGTGGCTCGCGCAGGCGACAGCGCGCACCTGGACCCGCAGGGGGCAGGACCCGCGGGGCAGCTGCCACGTGGCAGCAGGTCGAAGAGCGTTGGTCAGATGCAGGCGGCTCGGATTCTGCAGGCTCTGGAGCACGGCGCGCGGGAGAGAGTGAAGCGGCGGCGCACGCAGCAGAAACACCTGGAGCACCTGCAGCTGCAGCAGGAGCAGCAGGAGGAAGGGCAAGGGCAAGAGCAACAGCAATGTGGTCTTCCTGGCTTCGCATTACTGACCTCTCCCCTCTCCGTCTCCTCCACTCCCCCTCTTGCACCCAGTGCTGCCCCGTCACACACCCCCGCGCACGCAGCACCGCACGCAGCGCTAATCCCCCCGGTTCCCATGTCATGGGGCTACGGCCCCCTTGCACCTGCGGCGGAGGCGCGCGGAGGCGCGCAGGGGCGCAGCGAGGGCGAGGCGGAGAGACGGCGGCGGGAGCAGGAGCGGGTGGCGTTTGATTGGAGCGAGAAGGGTCCGCGGAGCCACAGCGAGGCGGAGAAGCGCAGGCGCGAGCGCATTAACCAGCAGCTGGGCGTGCTGCGCGCGCTGCTGCCAGGCGCGGCCATGGCGAGGGCGGACAAGGCGAGCGTGCTGGCGGAAGCAGTGGCGCAGCTGCGGGCGCTGAGGGCAGGCTTGGGGGAAAGTTGCGGGGAGGGGGGAGAGGGGGAGGAGGAACGGGAGGAAGGGCAGCAGGGGGCGGGGAAGCAGGAGGGAGCAGAAGAGCAGGGAGGGGAGGGGCAGAGAGCAGAGGGAGAGGGAGAGGAGGAGGGAGCAGAGAGAGCGAAAAGAGCAACAGGAGCAGCAGCAGGGCTGCTTGCTTCCAGCCTGCTGGCATGTGGCAGGGTGCCTGAGGCCACTCCGAGGGAGGACGAAGCGGTGGAGGTAGACCTGGTGTGGGCGCATGTGGGGGAAGAAGGGAGGGGGATGAGGTGGGGGAGGAGGTGAGGGAGGAGCAGGAGGAGGAGCAGGAAGAGGTGGACCGGAGGGGAGGAGAAGGGCTAGCGGGGCGCAAGAGGAAGCGAGGGAGTGAGGGGGAAAGGGCGGTGTGTGTGTGCGTTTGGTGCGAGGACGGGGATGGCCTGCTGCCTGCCATCCAGGCGGCTCTCAAGGTAGGACTAACACCATGCATGAATTTATTCATGGGTTATTACGCATGGATGAGCATTTGACTCCCTCAAAGTCCATGTGCTTCCCTGCAGCCCTGCTGTTCTCCACTCCCATTTCTTCTCACCTCACCTGCTCTCACCCATTCACCCTGACCCTCCTTTTCTCCCCCTCCCTTCCCTTGCTGCGCCCACAGCCCTTCCCTCTGCGTCTCGCCAGCCTTGAGTCTGCCTCCTGTGGTTCGCGTGTCGCCCACGTGCTGCTGCTGCACGCCTGCCCTGCTCTGGCTGCTGCTACCGCTGACACCGGCCCTGCTGCGTCCCTCCCATGTGCTCCCGTTGCTCCTGACTTTAAACCTGCACTGGCTGCTCGACCTCCTGGTGCTGCGTCTGCTGCTGCAATTGGTGCTCCAGGCTCATCAGCAGCTGCAGTGCCTGAACAGGAGCAGCAGCACGAGGGAGTAGGAAGATCAGGGGCGGAAGTGAACGAGTGTGAAGGGGATGCTTCAGAGACAAAAACAGCAGGTGGGGAAGGCGGGGTGGCTCAGTACGTGCGTGAGGTGCGAGCAGTGGTGGTGGATGTGGTGGCGCGGTGGAGGCGAGGGGAAATGGTCAGTGACGGTGTGTGAGGGGGGTGGAGGTGCCGGGCTTTTAAGAAAGAGGGTGGCTCAGATTAGTTGAACCATAATATACCCTTGACAGACCGGGGAAAGCAGCCGCCTGGGAGGGATGGCGCAGCAAAGGAGGCTGGAGAACATGCAGCCAGGTGGACCAGAAGATCCAGCGAATGGACCTGAGCAACTGTCACCCTTTAATTATTTATTTGTTTATTCATTCATACATGTCGCAGCATATTGAGCTGCGCTATAGCGTTATGTGTCTGCTTATTATTTTGTTTGCCAATTTGTTTATTCATTTATATCCAATCCTGTTTTGCTGAAAAGTATATTTGTTGCTTTGCTTTACATTGATAATCAAGGGTCACCATTACAGCAGTGGCAAGACAAATGGTCCACATCACTCAGATCAACCATGCCCAACAAACCGGAGCAGATGCAGGAGTCTAGCTCAAGTGCTAAGAAACTTCTGCCACCAGAACGCTGATGCTTTGGGGTACCGAGGAAGGTCAGGGTTAGAGAAGTCAACAAAGACAATGCCAAATCTCTCCAAGAAGCCACGAGCCCATTCCCAGTCGTCCAGAAGGGACCACGCATAGTACCCCTGGACATTTGCTCCATCCCTGCAGTCATCGCATGGGAAATATCTTAGTATGACAGGTTCCATGAGGGCACACAAACCAATGGGAAGTGGAGAACATTTCCTACCTCTTGGCCTTAAGCACATTGCTGAGGTAGTGCCTGTAGAAGTTCAGACGCTGATCGTCACAGAGTGCAGTCTCCAATGGAATGTCAGGGTCATTGACATCACTCGAGCCTGAAGCACAAGCACGTCATGAGTGAAGGATTCGGTACATACTCATACGATCCAAAAGACGCATCCAACCAATCCATACCGTTTTCAGTAATCATGATCGGAAAGCTGTTGTAACGCCCTGTGATCCACATCAAAATCCCATACATGCCTTCTGGAACCACCTTCAACCAAGATGAGCCAGTCTGTGAAAACAGGGGAAAGGGCGATGTCAGGAAGAGTGTATTGTTCAAGCCAAATGCTCATGATAGCATGGGCTGAAGGAACAGGTGCCATGTCAACTTACTGATGCACCAATCTCTTCACCAGTCAGTGGGTTGGTGCTTGAGGTTCCCACTTGGCTGTCACTCCAAGCGGTTCCAGGCGCACTGGCAGACCCTTGCCAGACATACAGAGCAGTGTAGAAGTTGAGGCCAAAGAAGTCTGCAGAACCAATAAGCTGCTGCCTTTCCGCAGCTGAGAATTGAGGCAGACGGTCACCAACAAGGGTCCGCATGGACTCTGGGTAGTCTCCAAAGTAAACTGGGTCAGCGAACCTGAAGTCATGAAGTTCGTTAGCACAACCCTGCACAGACTGAGACGCTTGAATGGATGTAAGTAAGCCTACCATCCGTATGAGAATTCAAGAGCTCGGTTAGCTGCTGCAACGTTTTCATCGGACTGATTGATGGGGAAGTAAAACTGGGAGTCTAGTGTGATGCCAATGCGGCCTTCCTGCAGCTTCTGCAGTCACAACAGTAATGGGAGGTTAGTTTCCAAGTCCATGTGTGTCCAGTGGCAGACTGAAATAGCAGCGATGATGACTGACCTGATAATTGGCTCTGTAAGAAGCAACAGCAGACGCGTGTGACCTCAATATGTTATGAGCAACAAGGTACGATTCCACTGCAGAATCCCCTTCTTCACACATCTCTCTGTCTGAGCATCTTCCTGGAGCCATTCCTCCTATCCCGTATCCCTATACAGGCAAATAAGTCGGCTTGGATGTCTCATAATGTCGAAGTAAAAAAATACCTTAAAAAGCTCTCATTACCTGAATCGAGGTTTCCATTGGTTCGTTGAAAGTGATCCATGTCTTCACATCAGCACCGAACGCCTCAAAGCAAACTTCCGCGTAGTTGGTGAACGCCTCCCTGCTCATAGCTCACATGAAGCAAACCGCAATGTACTTAATTGACCACATCAAGACAATTTCTTACACTATAGAACCATTCAGCCAGCCACCCCAGTTCACATGAAGATAATTCGGCAAGTCCCAGTGATACAGAGTCACTGCTGGCTCAATGCCTGCCAATGAATAATACGCCATCGGTTAGATGCAATAAAGAGAGGCTTCTTATACCACACACATATTCAGAAAAGTACGCAACAATTACCTGCTGTCTTCAGTGCCGCAATTACAGTTTTGTAGTGGTCGATACCTGCCGAGTTGACCTCACCAATGCCGTCTGCAGAGTGAATTAGATCAATCCTCTGTTGCAATCATTAATACGGCAAGCATACATAAAAAAACATCCACCAGACCTGGCAAGATCCTCGACCACGAGAGTGATAGTCTGTAGGACGTGACGCCCAGTTCTTTCATAATCTTGATGTCCTCCTGAAAAAGTATAATTTCAGAACAGCAAGCTCGAAAGGCATTATGACAATCGACGGGAAAAGAGAGAAAGCTCACCAGGAACTTGTGGTACTGGTCCGTGGTAATATTGGGCAGTGAAGAATCGGCAATTTTTCCTGTAAAGAGTGATGATGATGTTAAGCTAAGGAGGCACGCACTGCCATTGAGGCAAGACGACAGGTAGTCATCGTACCAGGAACTGCGGCAAACACGTCCCAAATGCTGGGCCCTCGACCTCCCTCCGATGGTGCTCCTTCAACCTGAACGTCGAGGATGTTAAGTTCTGAGCTTGACCTTGCCGAAAGAGCAAGCTCCGCAAGCACAACCAACCTGAGTTGCACTTGTCGCCACCCCAAACACAAAGCCGTCACCAAAGTCGCTCCTTTGCAGCACATTGTCATCATAAAAAGCCGTGCAGTTCTGAATTGCGAAAAAGAATCAGAAGAAGGACAACACAACGCTAAGGAGCAAAAAAAATCAGTAGCACCGGAGAAAAACACTTACGGAAAGCAGCGTGGAGCTGATAACCCAGTTACTATCGGTTTGGCCAGATACCATAGTTGTACTGATTAGGAGGAACATGAACGCTCCAGCGACTGGGAAAGTCATCGCTGCCATTTGAAGGTAATCAAAGCCACAGTCGTCCAAAAACAGATCGAGCCTGAAAGCAATTGTGGAGAATCTGCTCTGCGTGCTCGTATATGTACGAAGTCAGGAGGAGTTACCTGTTTCCGAAGGGTAATACGGAAGAATCAAGGCCGAGCTTGAGCAAACCAACCACCGCGCTTCGAAAAGAGCGTGTATCCCAAGGAAATTTCAGTATCTAAGATACATTGTTTGTTTGACAGGAAGCACAAGCCTCGATGGCGCAGTAGGTAGCGCGTAGGTCTCATAGCAATCCGACTCCCAGCCAACTGGGCGGAGCCATCCTAAGGTCGTGAGTTCGATCCTCACTCGGGGCAACGTTTTTCACAAACTTCCTTTCTGACTCGACCCGTTGGGTTAAGGTTAAGGTTATATTAAGGTCGTAACCTGTATACAAACATACATAGAGCAAGCAGGGAATATGGCCAATTGACCAACAGCCTATAAGGAGTACGTCACAACACGTTATTCCCCTATCCCCGAAGGGGATATCCCCCGGCGATCATGGGGGAGCGCTCTAAGATGGTGATAGCATCTATGGTGGACGGAAGGGGTTGCCAAGAAGCCACGAGGCACGAAGGGCAGGGTGGATGGAGGGGACGCCTGACTCGACCCGTTGGGATTTGTTTTTGCTCCGACAGCGAAGCGAACCGCCAATCGTTGACAGGAATTGCAGGACTCTGCGCGCGCGATTCGGGAATTCCGACAGACACAGACATGACAGAGGGTGTAACTTCCCAAGCGAAAACGTGGCGACGAGTGTGGCGAAGTTCGACTCCCCAAATCAATCTCGCCGAGGTACAACTGCGATATCTCACGAGACTGACAAAACAGAGCCCAAGGCTGGGCTCGACACAGGGATCACCTTCAGCAATCTTATTCAGTGAAGCCGCTGACGGATATTTCGAAGAGCATACCAAGTCAGGGAGATTGCTGTGCAACACCATGGCCGTGCCATTGTGTGCTGACGATGGAGTAGGATAACCTTGCCGAGATTAGAAGGTCACGGGCCCGCAATTTAACTAGTATAGAGTTCTCGTTAGCTTGTTTAGTTGTCTCTTATTTCCGTGTTGGAGGGGAAGCATGCAACCGGCAGGAAACAAAGGCCGTCGAGGCCAGAAGACATGTAATTTCCGTTCACCCCAACTGACTTAGCAGAATTCCCGTAGAAACAGCATGTACCTACCTTCCCTCGTTGTTTAGCGTTTTCGTCGATGTATGGCAGAATACATTCCCGTTGGTCTCAGGCTCTAAAGGCATAGCTCAGTGGTACCACAGCTCTCGCAGCATTATAATCTGAACGTTTCTCCCCTCCTGCTTCCAGGGTCCTTCGCGGCTCATTCGTCGAGCGTGAATTGCATAAGCATCGGCAGGAAGTCGGCGGAGAGGTTTATAACGGGCGGCGACGATAAGAAGCTGCACCTATGGTCCACCCGTCAGCGCGCGCCGTTGCTGGTAGGATTAGCGATTCGATATTTACCCGAAGCTTGTTGAAAGGTTAGAGCGACATGCAAGTCGAACATTTGCGATGACATCCGTTTCGTGCTACGACGTCGCCAGAGCGTGCTGCTAGCCGCGAGCGAGGAGATAAGAGTATATTTTCTTACCCCATTCGTTTCCCGTATTTATCTCCCCCGTTCCGCAACTTGCTTCCCCTTCACTGCATCTTCCCGCCCCCGCATCTTTCTCCCTTTCGCCGCGCCGCCAGTCGCTCCGCGGCAACACGAGCGCCATACAGAGCGTGCTGCTGGACGCGAGCGAGGAGAGAAAGGATTATGCCTTACCCCATTCCGTCCCCCGTCCGCGCATCTATCTCCCCCATCCCCGCGCCGCCAGTCGCTGCGCGGCAACACGAGCGCCATTCAGAGCGTGCTTCTGGACGCGAGCGAGGAGCTCGCCGTCGCGGGCGGCGCTGCGGGCGCCGTGAAGCTCTGGGACCTGGTGGAGGGGCGAGGTGAGGGGGGGGGAGTATGGGGAGGGGCGTGGTGAGGTGGGGAGGGATGGGGAGGGGCGAGGTGAGGTGGGGGGGGGATGGGGAGGGGCGAGGTGAGGTGGGGGGGGGATGGGGAGGGGCGAAGTGAGGTAAGGGGGAGGAACCTGGTGGAGGGGCGAGGTGAGTGGGGGAGGTATAGGGAGGGGCGTGGTGAGTGAGGGAGGTATGGTGAGGGGCGAGGTGAGGGGGGAACAGGACGTGGTGGAGGGGCGAGGTGAGGGGGAGGCTGTTGGGGCTGGTGGTGGGCGGTGTGAGAGGGGGACTGTGTGGTCGGAAGTGGGGGGGTGCTGACGCGGAGCAGGAAGGCGGATAGATACGGTGGGTACAGAAATGGCTAGAGATGGTGGCTAAAGTAGGGGCGGCCGAAACCTGGGGTGAAAGGAGCGATGGCAATTACGCCTCTGTCTCCATAAGCCTTACCCAGTCCTGCCGTCTACCTTCCATTCCCGCCATCCCTTTCCCCTCATCCCCTCCCCGCGCCTCCTCTTTGCCTCCCCCCTTCCCCCCTCATCGCCGCCTCCTTTCCCCCCATCCCCTCCCCGCGCCCCCCAGCCATCCGCACGATGACGGGCCACAAGGCCGCGCCGATCGCGCTCGACCTGTACTCCGCGGGCGGGCTGTGCGCGTCGCTCAGCCCCGCGGACGGCACCGCGCGCGTGTGGGACCCGCGCCAGAAGGAAGCCGCGCACGTCTTCCGCGGAATGGGCGCGGGGGACGCGGGAGAGGGCGGCGGAGCTGTGGGAGGGGGAGGGGCGGAGGGGAGGGGAGCGGGAGCAGGGGGCGGAGCGGAATGCGGGGGGAAGGGCGGGAAACCTGTAGGGTGCGTGCGGTTCAGTCCGGACGGGCGGTGGGTGGTGGCAGGCGGCCAAGATGGGCGCATCAAGGTGAGCAGCGCGCGGGGAGGGAAGAGGGAGGTGGGAATGAGCTTCTCCAAACCAGTGCTTCCCACTCTTTCTTCCCTCATCTCTCACTCCCCCCCTGCCCCCCCCTCCTTCCCTCCATGCACCTGTCCCTCCGCGCGCAGCTGTTCGACCTGGCGCAGGGGCGGCTGTTCGCGCAGCTGGCGGGGCACGCGGGCGCGGTGGCGGCGCTCGACTTCCACCCGCAGGAGCTGCTGCTCGCGTCCGCCGCGCGCGACCGCACCGTGCGCTGGTGGGACCTCGAGTCGCTTGACTGCGTTGACTGCGCGCCGCCCGGCGCGGGCGGCACCACCGCCCTCGCGTTTTCCCCCCAGGGGGACGCGCTCTTCGCGCCCTGCACTGACCACCTCAAGGTGCGTGCGCCGCGCAGGTTCAGCAAGCCGTGATGCGAGAAATCAACCGCTTTGTACCCCGTTTTATTCCTTTGGATCAGTTCTTCCTCTGCCCTGGCGACTTGACAATCCTCTTGCCATCCGCCCCGCCGCCCCTCCCGCTGCTGCTGCCCGGAATCAGGTGTGGGGCTGGGAGCCAATCAGGTGTTTCGACTCTGTCCACGTAGGATGGCCGAAGGTCGCTGACGTCAGCGTGAATGACAACTCCTTGGTGGCTGTCTCTGCATCCGTCACTGTTGTCACGCTCTGGACCGTTGATCTTGAGGTATTACTTCGCCTTCTTGGCCGTTGATGTTGAGGTAATGCTTTGCCTTCTCGGCCGTTGATGTTGAAGTGGTGTGCTAGCCTTGTCGTACCTGCAATCCATCCCACCACGTCCCTGTGCTTCCTCCCCGTTCCCTCCCTTCTACCTCTCTCCTCCCTATCCCCCTCCTCTCTCCCTCTCCTTCTTCCCCTCCCCTCCTCCCCTCGCTCACCTCCTCATCGCCTCTCCTCCTCCCCCCTCTCCCTCCCTCCCCCCCCACCTTCAGCGAGTGCTGCCATTCAGCAAGGACCCAGAGCAGTGCTTCGACGACCCCCTCCCCCTCCCCTCGCCCCCCCCGCATCTCCCCCACTCCCGCAGCCCTTTCTCCGCCCTCTCCCCCTTCGCCCCCTCCCCCTCCTCCTCCTCCCTCTTCCGCCCCTCCCCCGCCTCCCCCTCCGCCTCCCCCTCCCCCACCCTGTCACGCCGTAACAGCCTAAGGGGCAGTTTGGGGGGGGCGGGGGCGGGGGAGTTTGGGGGGTGGGGGAAGGTGGCGCCCGAGGGGGGTGACAGTGACGTGGAGGGGCCGGACTGCCAGCATCACAGTACGTGTGCACATATATGGGTGTAGAGATTCCTGCATGAGTGTGAGTGTTTCTCTCTGTCGGTGTGCCACAGTCATGTTGCATCTCTCCGCCATGTTGCAACACTTGTATGTATACTCCGTCCAGCCCTCCTTCACCTCCTCTCCATCCACCTTTGACCTTTTTGCCCCATATCTCTCCCCCCCCCCCCCCCTCCCGATCTTCCACCGCTCACCTTCCCTTCATCCCCGTTCCTCCCACTTCCCCTCCCCCCCCAAATCCCCCGGCCAATCAGAGCCCGCCACGCTCCCCTCCTCGCGTGCGCGCTCCTCCTCTCTCCCGCGCTCCCTCGCGCGCCACCTTGCTCCCACCATCGCCTCTCTGCAGCGCGCCCGCCGCGCCCCCTCGCCCTCGCCCTCGCCCTCTGCCTGTTGTGACGGGGAGAGGGAGAGGGAGCGAGCGAGGGCGAGGGAGCGAGAGAAGGAGTGGGATGACAGGGTGTCTGTGGGTACCCCGAGACGGTATGTGCGGTCGCCGCAGCGGGAGGGTGGAGGGGTGGGGAGGGGTGAGAGGGGCGACCGGGGGAGTGCTGCGCGGTGCAGCAGCGAAGGCGGCTGGTGGGGCAGGGAGGGCAAGGGGGGTCGAGGGGGGGTTGTGGCAGCAGTGGTGTTGGGTCGTGATGATTGTGGTGATAAGGGTTGGAATAATGGAGGGTATACCACGGGAGGAGACACCAGTACTGACGACGAGTGCACGAGTCATAGACTGGCACGTGGCGGCTCGGGATCGCATGGTGCTACCACCACCACCACCGCAGCTGCTGCTGCCACTACCGCTAATGGGCATACAGCCTCTCGACGCAGCTCACACATGCAAGCCCTGGCGTCTCCTCGCCGCTCCCCTCCCTCCTCCTCCCCTTCCAACCCCACCAGTCACTCCCCTGCCCCTGCTGCCTCTGCTCGCACTGCTCTTTCATCTTCTGCCACTCCCGTTACAGTCACACCAGATGCACGCGTGCCGTTCGCTGCTGCTGCTGCACATCCTGCCTACCCCGCAGCTGGTCGGGCCAACGCTGCTGCCGCTGCAGCCTCTGCTGCTGCCACCACACCAGCCACACCAGCAGCAGCAGTGGCAACACAGGCAGCAGCAGGGAGGGGAGTGCAGGGTGCGTTGACAGGGCGGTCGCCCATAGTGGACCTGGTGTCTCTTGAGGCGCCTCACAAGGTGGCTTTTGAGAATTCTCAAAAAGGGCGGTCACCCATAGTGGACCTCGTCTCCCGCGTCTCTGACTGGATCGGGTCGCTCTCCTCGCAGGAGCAGACGGGCGCGGGCGAGAAGAGGGGTGGGGGGAGCGGAGGAGGGGAGAGGAGGAAGACGGAGAGGGGAGGGAGTGAGGGGAGGGCGGGGGAGAGGCAGAGAGGCAAGGTAGAGGAGGAGGGCGGGGTGGATACCAGGAGTGGTGGTAGGGGCGCCGATGCTGCTGCTGGTACCGCTGGGGGTGCGCCTCGTGGTGCTTCTGGTAGTGCTGCTGGTGGCGGGGGTAGTTCCTTTGGCAGGCTTGGGCAAACGGCTCGGAGAATGACCTTTGGGTCAGGTGGTAGCGGGGGAGGCAGTAATGGGGATGGGAGTACTCATGCTGCTGCTGCTGCTGCTGCTGCTTCTGGTGCCAGAGGCAGTGGTACAAGGCCTGGTAACGGTACCGCCCTGACTCCTGCTTCTGCTGCTGCTGCTAATGCTGCTGCTGCAACAGCCATCAACAGCACGACGACCAACACCAACACCACCACCAACGCCAATGCCAATGCCAATGCCAATGCCAATGCCAATGGTAATCCCAATGGCAATGGCAACGCCCGCACCCACAGCAGCAGCGGCGACCATCCATCCATCCCCCCATATGCAGCCAGTCTCAGAGCCCCCTATGCAGCCGACACACAGCCAAACAACTCCCCTCCCCCCACCTGCTCCTCTGCCTCGCCTTCCCTCTCCGTGGGCAGCTGGGGCTTCCGAACCTCCAGCAAGGCTCGGGGGAAGAGGCAGGGGTCTCCAGTGCCGGCACTCTCTGAGGGCAGGTCCGGCAGCGCGCCGAACCAGAGCTCGCTGGTTCGGAAGCTAGGGCTGTTTGTGCCGAGGCTGCGGCCGCCGTATGCTGTGGATGATGAGGAGGTGGAGGAGGGGGAGGAGGTGGAGCAGGGGGGTGGGGGGGAGATGGCGGGGATGGTTAGGAGCCAGAGTGAGAAGGTTCCAGGAAGCGGGCCTCTTGTTGTGATCCGCCACGGAGGACTGGCTGACGTGGAGGGTTTAGCCAATCAGAAGGTAGCAGGGAGCGGAGGAGTAGGGAGAAGGGTGAGTGGGGAGGAGGAAAGGAGGCGTGGGCAGGAAAAGGGGGAGGAGAGCGCAGTTGGAGCAGCAGAGAGGGGGAGTGGCGCAGCGATTGGAGCAGCCGCTGCTGCTGGTGGTAGTGGTGGTTGCGTGGTGGGGAGAGTGTGGGAAGGGAGCCTGGGGGCAGGGAGCATGGGGGGTGTGGAGGCGAGGGCAGGTGCCGGGGTGGCACAGAGGCGGATGGGAGGAGGGGCAGGGGACCTCATTCCCTTCTTGCGAGAGGCTGAGAGGCAGGAGCAGCTGCAGCAGCAGGAGCAGCAGGCGCAGCAGCAGCGCCACCACCCCCAGCAGCAGCAACACTACCACCACCCCCAGCAGCAGCAGCAGCAGCAACACTACCACCACCCACAGCAGCAGCAGCAGGGAGGGGGGCAGGCGAGTGAGGAAGAAGCAGCAGTGGTGGCGGCAGTGAGGGATGGGCACGAGGGGGTGGTGCGACAGCTGGCAGCGCGCAGGCAGGCGGTGCGGCAGGTGGGGGAGATGTGGCGCGACGGGCTCGTGGCGGATGCTCTGGCGTTCCTGGCGGTCACTGCAGATGAAGGGGTGAGTGGGGGGAGGGGGTTTGCGTGCGGAGGGTGATTGGGGGGAGCGGGTGAGTGGGGATGCAAGGGTGAGTTCACGTGCCTTGGCAGGCAGGCGGTGCGGCAGGTGGGGGAGATGTGGCGGGACGGGCTCGTGGCTGATGCTCTGGCGTTCCTGGCAGTCACTGCGGACGAAGGGGTGAGTGGGGGGAGGGGGGGTTTGGGGATGCAAGGGCGGGTTCATGTGCCTCGCCAGGCAGGTGGGGGAGATGTGGCGCGACGGGCTCGTGGCTGACGCCCTGGCGTTCCTGGCAGTCATTGCGGACGAAGGGGTGAGTGGGGGGAAGGGAGGGAGTGGAGAGTGGGGGAAGAGGGTGGGCTGGGAGGAGAGGGTGAGTGCGGAGGAGGGGGTGAGTGGGGGAAGGTGCTGGTGCTGTTGAATGTGTTGTCAGCCATTGGTATGCTAAACACTGCCCAACAATGTGACACCTTCCCCCCTCCCTCCCCTCCACACCACATACCACTCCCCCTTCAACCCCACAGGTGCTGGTGGATGGTGGTTCAGCGATGGGCGCACAGGGCAGCAGCAGAAGCAGCATGGCAGCATGCTCCCCCTCCCTCCCCTCCTCACCTCCACTGACTGCCCTCTTAAACACCCCCCCTCTCGTTCCCCCTTCATCCCCACAGGTGCTGGTGGATGTAGTTTCAGCGATGGGCGCACAGGGGAACAGCAGCATGGCAGGGGGGGGAGTGGGGGGTGGAGCGAGCGCCGCAGTGCAGTGCCTGGGAGTGGACGGCTGTGCCGCCCTGGTGCCCATTCTGGGCGGCTTGCTGGCAAGTGCGCACTCCAGCCGCGTGCACGCCGCCCTCCTGCTGCTGCGCGCACTGCTGCGCTGCTACGGTGACGGGATCTCTGCCGCCCGCTCTGCCGTCCACTCGCCAGGCGTGGACCTGCACATGGAAATGCGGTGAGGAGGGGTGGGGGGAGGTGAACGTGGGTGAGGGGAGGTCAGGCGAGGGCGGGAAAGGGCGGGTGAGGGTGGATGAGAAAAGTTGTTTGAGGGCGGGGTGAGAGGGGGAGGGAGTGGCTGTGTTGTGAGGGCAAGCTGCATGGGGCAGGGATGGAATTGAATAGACTTGCACAGACTTGCCCGTCCCCCGCTCCTCCCCATCCCTTTATCAATCCGTCAGTCCCCCCTCCTCCCCCATGTCCCCTTCCTCTGCATGCACGCTGCAGCCCTCTTCCCCATCCCTCTCTTGATCCATTACGCCTCCCTTCCACCCGTCCCCGTTCTCTGTGTGCAGGCTGCAGCGCTGTGCGGAGTGTGCTGAGGCCTTCCACTCCCTTGCCCCCCACCTGCACACACTGCTGCACAGGTGAGGCCCCACGCCCCCATCACCCCCACGCTCACATGGCCTTCCACCCTGCATGCACCCAATGCACATCTCATCTCATGCACCCAATGCACATCTCATCTCATGCACCCCATGCACACCCCTGCCTTCACTGATACCACTTCCTCCTGCATTTCACATTGGTCTCCCCTGCTGCCCCAAGGCTCATGCCACTGCGCATGACAACGAGAGAAAGAGAATGGTGCCCTTCTGCCACACCGCCTCTACAGCACGCACTTTATCCACATTGACCCTGATGTCCTGTCATCCTTCTCAGCCCTCCTGTCTGTGTGACCTACTGTCCCCTCCCCACGCTCTCTCCCCCGTCCATCCTACGCTGTGTCTGCAGCGGCAGCAAGGAGAATCGCTCGCTTGCCACCCAAGTGCACATGCTCACAGCCCGCCTCTCTTCTTAAACCTCACCCCATACCACCCGCCTGGCTTGTTATTTAACAAACTCTCCTCTAACCAGCCACCTTGCTTCTTAGTTCTCGCCTCTCACCACACCTCTCGCAACGCACACCTCCGCCTGGCCTTCGATCCCTGCCAGCCACTGCTGCAGCCTCTCGCCGTGTGGGAAACTCTTATCACATGCCCACACGTGGCTCGGAAAGACGAGTGTTGATGATTCTAGCACCTTGTAATGAACCCTGAAGGAAACCAACCCAGGCATGCACCTGTTGTCATCTTATTAATGAATACGCGACTGCTCTCTCAACTGATCAACATCTGACATCTGGCTTGTTATGAAGATTTATGAACTCAAAAGGTTGATTTGAACTTACCTTGGACGGGAGAACAACCGAAACAAAAAGGGACTGAATATTACCTTCTAACTCAACAGTCCACAGTAGGGCCAGGGCCTCCTTACGGCATCGATGACCTCGTTTACTCCGTCCTTTACACGGCCAAGGGCGGGTCCCGGTCCCGGTTTGCACATGCACCTCACGCAACTGCTAGAAGAAAACTAACTGACTGCTGCTCGACCTAATGCGGTCTCTGCGACTTGTTTCTCCGCAACGAGCAGCTAATACTGGAGATGCGGAGGGGGAGTGCATGCGCGCACAAGCATACACCATTTTCCCATGCCCATATCGAAGGGTAGACAACTGGGCAGATGTTTTGAAATAAATGAACAAGAAGCAGGTTCCCGAACAGAAAATATTGTCATTAATTATAGCGCGTTCGACACGTAAACGATGCCTAGGTGCACGTCTAGACTAAGTCAGGAAGTCTAGACACTTATTGATGATGATGTTGGTGCAACCCTACGGTTTGCACTCGGCTTGTTGTCCGTGTGCGTGAATGTGTGTGTGTATGGAATGGTATGAGGGCATGGGATAAAATATATTTCATGCTTATAATTGTGTGTGAATGTTGAGTCATGATGTCGAGTGTGTGTGTCGAGTCAATAGCGAGTTATCGCTAGACGCGTGTTACGCGGTCGTTTGTGTCTCGCGCACGGTTTCTATTTTGTCGTGCGCGGTTTCTATTTTGTCCTGTGTCGAACGTTCGGCGTGTCGCAGGTGTGTGCAGCAGACCCATCAAGAACTCAAGGATGAGTTTGTGATGAAGAGCCCGAGCCTTGGTGTCAAGCCTCAAGTGATTTCGAAGCTTGCCAAAAGGGTACACCTAAAGATATTGAAGATAGTTACATTACTTTGTGTAGTGTAACATTTCACTTGGTGTAGGCCCTAGTGAAGGGTAGTTTCGAGACCCTTCGTGGTTGAGGACAGTGTGGCACTGTTCCACATCAGTGTACCTCGGCTCTTGGGGTTTGTAGGAGCTGGGAGTCATTCCCAACTCGTAACTCTTCCTATCTTGTGTTCTAAGACTATAGTGGCTGCCATAGTACCGTTCGTTCAAACCGACGCTGTGTCGTCAATTCTTTATCAAATCGTGCAATCTAAATTGCAAATTGTAGACGACGTGAAGACGCTCCAGATCCAATTTGAATCAAGTCATTTGCAGCTGTGAGCAGAACGCTATCAACGTTTGAAGCCGCTGTGCAGAAATCCGTCTGTGCTCTCTATCTTTCGTTTTAGGCACATTCAAGCCTATTGTGACTATAACAGATGAATTGTCAAGACTGGCGCCACTAGTACTGCTATGATTCAAACGGCTGCTACGCTTGTCGAAGTCGCTATGTGTTACAGACCACGCTTCTGGAGTCACACTAGGGCTTGAAGGCCTTCGAAGCGGCCTCCGCGGTGGCCTTTGCGGACGCGAGCTGCGAGAGAACCTTCTTATCGTTAACGGGGTCGAGCATAACGGAGACGCTCGATGGTGGAGACGGCGTTGGCGATCTGCCCCTGGACGATCGTGCGCTGCCCCTCGTCGATGAGAATGCCCGCGTTCGTCAGCGCCTGCACCGTCGCGGTGAGGCTCGTGTAGTACGTAGCGTGTCCGCCGCCTTCTGCACTCCGCTCGTGGCCGTCGTGAGCTGAGACTGGATCTTCTGGTCCGCCTTGCTCACCACCACGGGCGCGGACCCGCCAGCGCCAGCGCCTGAGTTGGCGCCCTTCTTTCCGCCCTTCTTTCCGCTCGTAGCAGGCGCGGGCACGGCAGGGGTGGGGGTGGCAGGGGCGGTCCAGTTCTTGTGTCCGCCCTTCTTTCCGGTGGTAGTTGGCGGGGGAGTGGCGGGAGTGGCCGGAGTGGAACCGCTTCCGCCCTTCTTCCCCTTCTTTCTGGTGGTGGTTGGCGGCGGGGGAGAGGCGGGAACGTCGGAGCTCTTACCCTTCTTCCCCGACTTGGTAGGAGGAGGGGGGGAGGTGGCCGGCGCGCTTGAACCCTTCTTCGACTTCTTCGCGGGAGACGGGGAGGGGGACGAGCCTGACGAAGTCGAGTCGCTCTTCTTCGACTTCTTGCTGCTAGAGCCGGAGCTGCTAGTAGAGCCGGAGCTGCTAGTAGAGCCGGAGCTGCTTGTATCGGAGATCTTGTGCTTTAGCACGCGGCCTCGGTTGATGTCCGACGGGAATTCGTTTCCGGACAAGGCGTCGCCACCTGAAAAGAAGCAACGGATCGAAATTCGGTTAGCGAAATGTGGATTACAGGCAAAATGGTTGCTGGGAAGTGCAGCAGTTGCATGTCGCTGCAGAATACCGCTAGGAACGGGGAGGAAAGGTAAGAGAGCGCGTGAAGAGAGTGCGTACCTTCAGATGCAATCTCAGCACTCTCCACATGCCATGGGGCTGCCACGAGCAGCACTCCGATCAACGCGCACACTGCCACGATGGGCGCGACGACCTTGGCAGCCATTCTCCCGCAAATCAGATATCTCGAATTGAGGGCAGTTTATCGAGTGAATTCGCTGGTCGGGCGAGCAGAGGTTGAGAGGCGAGATGTGATTGAGCAGAACTGACTGATGAAAAGCAAAGGAAGTAGCCTGAACTTATACACTCGACGTTTCGGTTTGTGTGCAGCATCGGAACGGCAATGGAGGGAATCGTGGGGAGCAAAAAGACCATCGGCCGGAACGGCCCGGACGGCTGGGACGAATTTCAGAAATGCGGCGCGTTGGGTTATGTTTGAAAGCACTCGACACGGAAGCGCGGTCAGAAATGGAAATGCGTCTCGGATGGAGTACGTGGAGCAAAACCCGGGGAATTGGGATTTGAAATGAGATGGCTGAGCGGTCAGCCACGATGTGCACCAAAGGATAGAAAAGTGTGAGCTCCCTCATTGGGCGGTGTCAGTTCCTTTTTGGCGCACGGTTTTCTGTAGGTTACTGTTATGAGTTCGCGGGTTTCGCACAAATCACGATTTTGGATTCCCGAAAGTGTAAGTCGTTTTAGCGAAGTTTGCAACTGCCATTGTTCCCCCCATGATTCTTGTTGGGTTCCTGCGAGGCACCATGGCGATATCGTGGTGTAACCATGAATACCTTTGTGAATCTTTCGATTTTTTGGGAAGGGGCAGGCAGCAGAGCTCCACGATACCCCCCCGTTTCTCGCCATAGTAGATTTCGTTATACGCTGTTGTATCGTGTGCGTCTGTTGGGTTTATTACACACAACTGTTGCAATCATACTCGCGACGCTGTGCACCTGATTTCCCCAGCACCGTAATCATCGCCAAGAACCCTTCCAATGTACCTTTCTGCTAATTTGCACTCTACGCTGATCGTTAGGGTCTTCAATCGAGTAAGCCGTCGTTTCTAAGACACGGGTTGTACGTTTACAACTCATATCATGGGTCGATATCAAAGTTGAGTAGCGAGCCAAATGGACCGACTGCGACCTGTTCTCTCGGCAGCGTCCAGCCATTTATTCATAATGTGAAGCGAGAGCGTGGGCGAACAAGCAGACAGAGGTCCATTTGGTCCACGACTTAGCCAGCTTCCACGACGTAGCCATATCGAAGGACAGACAGAGGTCCATGGAGAGCTGACCTGCTGTCTTGAAAAGCATGTGCGGAAAGAGGGCTGATGTTTTGAAACAATGATGCCTAGGTACTACCTCATGCGTACACACCGTGTCTACGTCAGGAAGTCGCTTTTTATCTATCTGTCAGGAAGACTTGCGCCACTAGTACCGCTAAGCTTGTCGTCGTCACTAGGTATTACAAACTACCACGCTTCTGCGGTCACACTACGGCTTGAAGGCCTTCGAAGCGGCCTCCGCGGTGGCCTTAGCGGACGCGAGCTGCGAGAGCACCTTCTTATCGTTAACGGGGTCGAGCATAACGGAGACGCCGTCGATGGTGGAGACGGCGTTGGCGATCTGCCCCTGGACGAGCGTGCGCTGCCCCTCGTCGATGAGAATGCCCGCGTTCGTGAGCGCCTGCACCGTCGCGGTGAGGCTCGCGTAGTACGTGTTCTTCGCGCCCAGCGTGTCCGCCGCCTTCTGCACTCCGCTCGCGGCCGTCGTGAGCTGAGACTGAATCTTCTGGTCCGCCTTGCTCACCACCACGGGCGCGGACCCGCCGCCACCCGCACCCGCGTTGTTCTTGCCCTTCTTTCCGCCCTTCTTTCCGCTCGTAGCTGGCGCGGGCACGGGATCAGGGGTGGGAGTGGCAGGGGTGCCCGCGCCCGCGCCCTTGTGTCCGCCCTTCTTTCCGGTGGTAGTTGGCGGGGAGTGGCGGGGGTGGCGGGAGTGGTACCGCTGCTTCCGCCCTTCTTCCCCTTCTTTCCGGTGGTGGTTGGCGGCGGGGGAGAGGCGGGAACGTTAGAGCTCTTACCCTTCTTCCCCGACTTGGTAGGAGGCGGGGGGGAAGCGGCGGGCGCGTTCGTGCCCTTCTTCGACTTCTTCGCGGGAGTCGGGGAGGGCGACGAGCCTGACGAAGTCGAGTCGCTCTTCTTCGACTTCTTGCTGCTAGAGCCGGAGCTGCTAGTAGAGCCGGAGCTGCTAGTAGAGCCGGAGCTGCTTGTATCGGAGCTCTTGTGCTTGAGCACGCGGCCATGGCTGAAGTGAGACGAGAATTCGTTTCCGGAAGCGTCGCCACCTGAAAAGAAACAACGGATAGAACGAATGGATTAGCGAAATGTGGATGACCGGCGAAATGGTTGCGAAGTGCAGTTACTTGTCCTTGACGGAATTCCTCGAGACACGGGGATAAAGTTAAGAAAATGCGTGAAAAATATACCTTCAGAGGCAATCGCAGCACTCTCCACATGCCATGGGGCTGCCACGAGCAGCACTGCGATCAACGCGCACACTGCCACCATGGGCGCGACGAGCTTGGCGGACGCCATTCTCCCGCAAATTAGATCCACCTCTTGAACTGAGCTCAGTCACTCGAGTTTGCTGGTCGGGCGGGCAGTGATTGATAGGCGAGGAGTGATAGAACGGTGAGCGACTGATGATAAGCAAAGCAAGGAGCCTGGATTTATACCCTAGACGCTTCACTTGTGTATCATCAATGGATGGAGGAAATCGTGGGAGGCGGGAGGGTCATCAGCCGGAGGGATGGCTGGGACGGAAATTGGAAATGCGGCGTGCAGGGCTATGTTCGGCTATACCGAGGCGCGGTCAGAGATGGAAATGCGTCAGATGTCCACGACTGGAATTTGCTAGGAGAGTAACAACCCACGATGTCCACCAAAGGGTGAAAGTGAAAGGGTGAGGTCGCTCATTGGCTGGTGACAGTGCCTTTTTGGCGGAGTGGAGGGTAAATTCACCCCTGAACACTTCCACTCAAACGGCATTCGCTGGCTCCACGGCGGTATACATGATACATGTTGTGAACCCCCCTTGTGGTGATGCACAACGTGTCGATTCGATAAATAAATCTGCTCGTATAGAAACATTGTTTGGTAAAAGTAGACTATCAATCGTTTGTCGCAATCGGTGTGCGGATTAGTTACCCTGTTTACTAGCGTGTAACCATGCTACAGTAAGGTTTTGTCAATAATGAGTGCACAGTAAGGAAATGCGACTGATCATTGATCGCTGGAGATCAACCCAAACCTTAGGGGCGATCGTTACAACGACGTTTGCGCATCGTTTCGCCAATCGATCCGCTAAATCGATTGTGCGACTCGATATACGGGCACGATCCTGTGATATTCGCACCTTTACCGCGTCCTTATAGACGATGGGTTTGCTACTGTATGTATGTTAAAACTCTCACAGCATTGCTACTTCCATGAAGGTGAATACTTTGTTTTGGCAAGCACACATACACACTCATACACACACACAAACATACACACGCACACACACACACACACACACACACACACACACACACACACACACACACACACACACACACACACACACACACACACACACACACACACACACACACACACACACACACACACACACACACACACACACACACACACACACACACACACACACACACACACACACACACACACACACACACACACACACACACACACACACACACACACACACACACACACACACACACACACACACACACACACACACGCGCGCGCGCGCGCACGCACGCACGCACGCACGCACGCACGCACGCACGCACGCACGCACGCACGCACGCACGCACACACACACACACACACACACACACACACACACACACACACACACACACACACACACACACACAGACACACACACACCCGCACACACTTGCGCGCGCACGCACATACGGCCTCCGACGATGCCGTTGTGCAGTGCCGAAGGCAGCGCACTAATACTCCCCTCATCCCCTCAGCGAGCACCTCTCAGCCTTTGGTCGCCGGCGAGACACCAAGGTGAAGCCCCCAGCGTGCCTTCGGCGCCATCTTTCCGCCACGTTGATGCTCTAGGACCATGAACTGCACCAAGCAGCCTCACACGCATGCCAGTGTGAGGCCCGGCTTCGGAGCGTACAGCAGCTCATTCGGCGTCGTCCCCGAAGGCAGTGAAGCCCGTTCGAGACAGCTGCGCACCCAGACGGTTTGGCGCAGAGCGCGGTGCCACCAGTGATGCTGCACACCCATGTGGAGCAACATCGTGCACACGACTTCGACGACAGTGCACATCTCTCGCTCAGCCATGCCGTTGTGATGTGTCGTGTAGAGGAACGTCATGTTGTGGAGGATGCCCTTGTGCTCGACGAAGTTGGTGAAGGCGCGACCGAGGAACTCCCCTCCGCAGTCAGAACGGAACATTTTTACCGACTTCGTGGTCTGTCGCACCACCACCTCCATCCACTTCTCAAACACCCGCAGCACATCACTCTCGTCTTCGCGATTGTGCGGACCCACACAAAGCAGGACGTAGAGACGCACGTCCTTGGCGGCTACACGAAAGGGGCCGCACATGTCGATGTGGATGACGTCGAGCGCGTTCTGGACTTCCGAGCCCTTGTCGAGGAAGGTGTGCCTCGGAAGTTTTTTGCCGACGCAGGAGAAGCAGGGCAAGTCGGTGCCCATCAACGGCTTGATCTCCAAGCCGGCGGCACAGTGCGCTTGATCGAGTTGCCACCGCGTGCGCAAGCGGAGCATGCCAGATGTCTGCAGCGCAATCGTCTTCGTCGAAGCCGACGTCGGCTTCGACGAGCAAAGACGAAGGTCGGTGCAGGGAACCCGGCTGGTGTAGCGTGCATGACCGAGCACATCTCCTGCAGCCCACACAAGCATCATCTCATCGCCATCGTCCTACATCTTCACACCGCTGTCCTTTAGCTGGCCGGCCGACAGCAGGTTCGCATGCACTCCGGGGACGTACATCAAGTCGGGAATGGTAATCTGCTTCTTGGCCTCTCGTGTCAACGCGACGGTACCACGGCCTTGGACAACTTGAATCGCCCGTTGAAGCAGCGCACATGGCTGACGTCGCCTTCCGAACCCATGTCGACGAAGGCCTCTCGCGTTCCCATCAAGTAATGGGAGCAGCCACTGTCGAGGAGCATCACGGTCGGGTTTGCCTGCACGGCGGCGGCGACTGCCCAGAAATATCCGCCGGCCTCCGGCGTGAGGGAAATGGCCGGCTCCACCACACCGACTATCGAGTACGATGCCGCTGGGTCGCCGCGTGCATTACTGCTCAAAGAGTCGGCGTCCTTCGCCGATGACGTCTTCCACGTCTGCTTCTCCTTGCGCGGCTGGTTGTCGCGACGATGATGGCTGGTGTCAGTCTTCCCGAGGCCGGCTTCCTGGTCGTCGTCGGACTCCTTGCGGTCGAGGCAGTCATACGAGAGGTGGTCGGGGTCTCCACAGATGTAGCACTGGTATCCTCCACGATGCTTGCCGCCGCTACTGTGATCGTTGTCCTTGGCCGACTTCGCGTGGTCGGCGTACCGAATTACTGCTCTGCCGAGCACGGTTGCAGTACTCCGTCGTCGACTCATGCTGGCCCATCTTGATGTTGGTCAACCGCTGTTCAAGTTGGCCGATGTAGAAGTCATCGGTCGCCTGAACGTCCTCATGATGAATTGCTAGGCTTGGAAGCCGGCGTCCACGCGAAGTCTTCAAGGCTTAAACACCACTTGCACCATCGGCGAACAGCACCTCGAGATTACCATGAATGTTAGCAAGTAAGTTGCGCAAAATTCCGCCAGGAGCTCGACGTTGTCCTCGTCCGGAGTCGCCACTGTGCCGTCGACGAACTTCTTCAGTCCCGCAATCTCTAGCTGGGGCTCAATCGACTCTGTCCACTTCGTCAAGTCATGTCGGCCTTCGAGCTGCTTGGACACGACGATTTTGTCTGGCGAAAACTTGAAGTAGCCGTATGTCGGTGCAATGCCACCGTCTCGGCCAGCCGACATGTGTGACGCCCAAGTCGGCCCGTCTCCACTTCGCAAGGGAGAGCGACGTCGACCGTCGACGTCACCTCGCGAGGTGCCCACACCCGCCGCCTGCAGCATTTGCACCTGCATTCCGCTAACGCCAACTACGCCGGCTCTGCCTTATCCTTGAATCACTCCGCGCGTCACCCTCGTTCCCCCATCGCCGACGAGGTTGCCGTTGTCAAATGTTGAACATTGATATGATAGGCTATAGTGAGTTGCACTCTAGGGGGTACAGCTTCTAGGGTTGCTTATTTGTACCCCATTCGTTTCTATTCCAACCATTTCCGTTGCTAACCACTCTTGAGATGGTATCACGAGCAGGACCGTTCCTAGCCCGTTCCTAGCCTAGTGTTCACCCTCCGCGCCCTCCGCGCCTAGCTCGCACCCTCCGCGCCCTCCGCGCCCTCCGCGCTTAGCTCGCACCTCCGCACCCTTTGTGCCTCCGCGCCTAAACCGCGCCACTGCACCCTCCGCGCCTAGCCCGCGCCCTGCCCCTAGCCCGCGCGACGCCCGTAGGCTCTGCCCCAGCCCGTCGCGGCGCCCGTGCGCCCTGCCCCTAGCCAGCGCGTAGCCCGTAGGCGCTGCCCCAGCTCGTCGCGGCGCCCCTGCGCCCTGCCCCTAGCCAGCGCTTAGCCCGGAGGCTCTGCCCCGGCCCGTCGCGACGCCCGTGCGCCCTGCCCCTAGCCCGCGCGTAGCCCGTGCGCCCTGCCCGTTGCCCACGCGCGGCCCGTACGCCCTGCCCCTCGCCCTCCGCGCCTAGCCCGTCGCCCACGCCCCAGCCCTAGCCCGTCGCCCACGCCCCAGCCCTAGCCCGTCGCCCACGCCCCAGCCCTAGCCCGTCGCCCACGCCCCAGCCCTTGCCCGTCGCCCATTTCCCACCGTCGCGCCCTCCCCCCGCCCTTTCCCACCGTCAAAACAGCCCTCCCTGCCCATTCCCACCGTCAAACCGCCCTCCCCGCCCATTCCCACCGTCAAAACCGCCCTCCCGCCCGTTCCCACCGTCAAAACCGCCCTCCTGCCCATTCCCACCGTCAAAACCACCCTAGCCCGCCCGATCCGCACCTACCCTCGGCACGTGGCCGGTTTCACCCCTCCTCCGCCCTGTTTCCCGGGCCCTCCCCATTCTCCCAGTCACTGGCCTTCACCTCAGCGGCTGGCAGCCGCTCATACCTCCGGTAGCTAGCCGTAGCGCCGAATCCTCCCTAGCTCCTAGTCGCTCCGTCCCTGGCGTCCCTAGCCGTTCTCCGCCTCACCTCGTTTGCTCCCTCCGCTATCGGTTCACTCGTAGCTTTCCAGCTGGCGTCTCTCGCCCTCAGTAGCCGTCCTCCTCGTTCTTAGCTCAGCCTCCGCCGTGCTCCAGCCGCCTCGCACATGTCTTCCGTTATGGAGTCCCGTCGCCTCCGTTTCGACGCGGAGGGACGCCCGATAGAGTTCGGCACCTGGCAGCGCCAGACCACGCGCTTCCTCACCAGCCAGCGGCAG